TATAGTCCAGTTCACAAATGCCAGCACTTAATCCTCTAAGCCTTGAGTTGTTCACTAATTGTTTTTTACACTTGCTCTTTTCTCTTTAATGAAAGCAGCCTGAAGACAGAGCTCTTTTCTTATATACAAGACCCTTTCTCTGGTGCCCCATAACCTCTGGATGGGATATCAAATGAGTAATATCTAATAAACTAAGTGTTTGTTACTGCTTGTTTGTATGTAACTAGATGCTGTGCATATCTCATTTACTTGCCAAAAATAAGTACATTAAAAGTCCCTAAGCAGTGGTTCTCAGTGGTAATCGTTCTAGTTCCGTTTTTGTGGGGTTTTTTTCTTTTTTTGGGTTTAATATGCTGGGAAGTAGTAATAGTAAAGAGGAATCAAGTATCTGATACTGAGTTTGGTGACCAGCTATGGAGGGGTGACATTGCTGGCCATCTGTAATTTTGTTAAGATCTTTGATTATGTTATCCCAGTGACAAAATTCTCCAATCACGACTCACCTCCAGATATGTAAAATATAATTGTTTCATATACTGTTAAACACTTAAGAGATTTGTAATTTTCCAAACCTTTAATGTCTTGACTTGAATGTCTGCCTTGCTTAGTTACTGTAAGGTTTTGATTTATTTCTCCAGTGTCATTGTTTTTCAGCTTTATTGTCTGATATAGTAAGATTTCACGTGCCTAGCTTACGATGCTGTTTAAACTTACAAGCTAACTTTGCCTTTTTACTTTTTAATAGGTCCCTGATTACCCTCCAAACTATATTTTATTCCTTAATAACTTACCAGAAGAGACTAATGAGATGATGTTATCCATGCTGTTTAATCAGTAAGTTTTTTCATAAATAAGTCTGTTTTCTGAGAGCTTCCTCACAGGACAAGTAGCACTTCCATGGGTTGAATCCATTGATCACACAGCAGTAATTCCTTACAGGTTCATTGATTTGGTCTGGGATGAATCATGAATTGGAGCCAATTTGCCAATTTAGCAAATAAAGAGCTAAATTTCCTCTAATGTTTGAATTCTGAACTCTGATTGATATAACAAAGCTTTGATATAATATAAAATAGAATTAGTTTATTCTTGCAGTTCCTCCATGGTGTTAATTATATTTTAGGCTCTTCCATCTACCCAGTATTCTTGGTTAGGGTATGGTTATTTTTCTTGGACTAGTATTAGGAAGTTGCTTAACAAATTTTAACACAAAGCCAACATTTATGTACTTGCTGTATATGTGAATTGTTTTCCTTCTTTATAGGTTCCCTGGCTTCAAGGAAGTGCGTCTGGTACCAGGGAGGCATGACATTGCTTTTGTTGAATTTGAAAATGATGGGCAGGCTGGAGCTGCCAGGGATGCTTTACAGGGATTTAAGATCACACCATCCCATGCTATGAAGATCACCTATGCCAAGAAATAACATTTGGGACAGTCGTCTTTAAAGGACTTGGTGTTATTTATAGTGTTTGTTTTGATAACATTTAGCTGGGTCATTTTAATAGTTAGAGATTAGGGGGAGTAAAAGTGAAATTTTTGTGAAGGACTTAAATTATCCAGTGTTTCTTTATCCTTGGTGAACTATGAAATACGAAGACCTTAATTTTGTACAATAAACTTTGTATTCTGTGTATATAATGCTTTCTTTATTGACTCATTGCCCTATCATCAAATGACTGTTCTGGTCTAGAACACACTTAAAGTTTATAAAATTGTGTAATAGGATGCTTTTCTAGTGTTATTTTGATGGAGCTAATGATACAACATCATTGAACCATTTTAATAAAAGTTAAGTAGAATTAGATCACAGAAGTTAGTAGATGACTGTTGTATTAATGGTAACAATGATTGTTCTGGGTATTAGAAGAAAATGAGATCCAGGCGGGATCTAAATTTGATCTTTGTATCCTTTTAAGAAATGAATATATTATTTTGCTGATAGTAGGGATGCCATAGGTTTTCTTCATTCAGTATTAAATAAAGACTGTGCTTACTGTTTACTGAGAAAACGGAAAGGGAATGCTGTCTTCAAACTGCATTTAATGCTCTGTCGTTCATGAGGCAGGACTGTTCTGAGGTTAATGCCCAACCTCTTTAGTGAAAGACCTCCAGGGTAAAAATGTTACTATCTATAGTCCTTTTTTTTTTCCCCCTTAAGACAAATAGGCTGATTAATAAAGAGTTGCCAATGCTAAGCTTGCTACTTTGTAATTCTTAGACACCAATGTTCAAATATTTCCAAAGCCCATTTTCTTTAGCTTTTGATTTATATTTAAGCCTGTTGATTCAGTCCTCTGCTGAATAAACCATGAGTATCTCCAGAAGTGGACAATTTGTTTTTACAAGTATAGTACATATTGATAGTAACAACAATAAGAAAACAGTACTTTTTTTTTTGGTGTTCCTGTGTTACTATTCCTTGAACAAAACTTTTATCACTTGGAATTTTTATTGTCTACTTATGGAAAGACCACTTTTAGACTTATGTAGACAGATTATCACATCACTCTTATGCATACATAAAGGGGGGAAAAATTTTTTCCTATAACTTTGCCACATTTAGTCTGTCTCTCCTGAATAACTTTTTTAACCCAGTTGTCAAGCTCCTGTACTTTTGTAAAATATATTAATAGTGAATTACTAGAAAATGGGCCATGCTCTTGTATATTACAGTGATGTCAATTGCTGATAAATTTTTTATACTGTACTTTTCTAAGAACTGAATGTAATTCACAGACTGATCCTGTGCCCAGGCCTGGCCATGCTTTGAGTGGCTGTATTAGAGCAGAAAGGTCAGGGTGGCTCACCTGGGGTGAGAATGAGGGGGGTGAATAGTAAGAGGGGTCGTGTAGGTCTTCTTAAGGATTTGCTTATAATCCGAGTGAAATGGGGAACAATTTTAGAGAATTTTTTAATGTGGTTTAGAATTTACATACAATAAAGTTCACCTATGTTAGTGTTCCCTTTGATGAGTTTGGGCTATTGTATATAGTCACGTAATAATCGTAAGTACAGAGCATTCCATCACCCCCAAAAGTTCCCTTGTACCCCTTTGCAGTCAGTCTATTTCCCCCTACTCCTGGCGCTAGTCAACTACTGATCTGCTTTCTGTCCCAACAGTTTTGCCCTGTCTGGAATGCTTTGGAAATGTATCTATTGTTGCCTATACCAGCAGTTCCACCAATGAATGGGCATTTGGGTTCTCCAATTTGAGGCTATTAAGAAAGTGGCTATGAACATTTACATACAAGTCTCGGCATATATTCTGTTAGATTTCAAGCAGAAGAGTAATAAGTTAGTTTGATACAATTTCTGATTTATATAAAAGTTGCAGAAATAGTACACAGAACTCTCATAAACACTTCAAATTAATCACCAATGTTTCTAGGCTTCTGGGCTATTTGAGGTTGTGGTTACATTGACCCCATTATTCCATGATACTTCAATGTGTGTCTTAAAGTACAAAACCACCCTCCCACATAACCACAATATGACCATCAAAACCAGGAACTGTGACTGGGCGCGATGGCTCATGCCTGTAATCACAGCAGTTTGGGAGGCTGAAGTGGGAGGGTCATGTAAGACCAGCTGGGGCAACAGTGAGACCTTGTCTCTACAAAAAGTAAAAAAATAAGCTCGATGTGGTTGCGTGTGCCTAAAGTCCCAACTACTGGGGAGGCTGAGGCAGGAGGATTGCTTGAGTCCAGGAGGTTGAGGTTACAATTATGTGTGATCATGCCACTGTACTCCAGTCTGGGCAACAGAGTGAAACCCTGTCTCAAACAAAACAGGAAATAATCCCATGTTATCATCTAATCCAAGTTTTGTTTGTATTCCAATAATGGCTCAATAATCCAATCCAGGATTGTGTTGCATGTAGTTGTCATGTTTCTTTAGCCTCCTGCTGATTCCTCAGCTTCTCATCTTTCATCATGTGAATTTTATATAGTCTGTCTACCTTTGGATATATCTACACAGTTATGTTAAAAACTATGAATGTATAAGAATGTCTCTGCAGTCTTAACAGCGTTGAGTTCATCCTGGCTTTCCCCCTTCCCCTGTGTGTAACTCACTTCTCCACCAGTCCCATTAACTTCAATATATTCTATTCACTTATTTTCCCAAATCTTTCCTGCGCAATCAAACTCTATAAAGTAATCCTTCAATAAGGAGCAGGGGAAAGGAAAAAGGAGTTAGCAATGCTTTAAAGAAGATTTGATCAAACTAAGATCTTTTGACCTTCCCTATCTCACCCATCTTTGGGAATGTGAGTTTTGAGGAATGATTGAAGGGAGTAGATGTTATTTAATATAGTGGTTCTTAACTTTGGCTGCATATTAGAATCATCTGGTAGCCATTTTCAAATACCTTTGCTCAATCTACACCCCAGATCAATTAGTCTCCAGGGATGAAGCCTAGTCATCAATATTTTTATAACCCAACCCCCCAGGGTGATTCCATTGTCACCCAAGGTTAAGAACTAACAAAGCAAGTTTCTACTTTCATGAAGTAGGGTATAATAGATCATTGGCTCAAATGGTGTTTTTCAAAAGCAGTATATTGATAAATAGAGGATAATGTTAGATCTGGAAATGGTTGTGATGCAGGGCAGGCAGGCCTCAAGCGTGGGGCTTAGCCCAGGAGGATTCTTGGCTTCACCCAGGAAAGAATTCAAGGGTGAGCTGGTGGTGTTAAACAACAGTCTTTGGGTAAATAGTACTGCCTCTTGCAGAGCAGGGCTAATTCATACACAGTGTGCCCAGAGTTGGCAAAGTATTGGCTCTTGGCAACTGCATTTACACCCAGTTAAATTCACTTTTAGTTACATGCAAATTAAGGGGAGGCTCAATACAAATTGCGGGGCAGATTATTTAGAACTTTCTAGGAAAGGGGTGGTCACTTCTGGGTCATTGCCATGGAAAATGACAGTAACTTCCAGGTTGTTGCCATGGCATTTGTAACTGTCATGGCACTATGGGAGTGGGTTATGCTAATGAACGATGAAGACAGCTGAGGATTGCTTCCCTTGACATCTCCTTGTCCCTGCTGGTTTCTTCACTTTATACTGCCTGGACCAGATCCTGTTCTGGTCAGCAGGGTTGTGACCAGAAAACAAGTTCTGCTGGTCTCCTACCTCAGTTGCAGGAGATTCAAAACTCCATTTTAAACTTTAAGCCTTATAGTATCTTCTGTTTGAGTATTTAACAGGCATTTGTTTTCCCTTGAAAATATATCCAGCCAAGACCTTATGAAGAATGTGAGCTAAAATTACGGTATTTTACTTGCCTGGGAACAGTACTTCTCAAATGTTAATGTGCATACAAGTGACTTGAGTATCTCGTTAAAATGTAGATTTAAGATTGTGTCTCGGGGGTGAGGTCTGAGAAACTTGATTCTATAAAGTGATGTCAGAGTTACTGCTCTGGGGACCATGTTTTGGTGGCAAGTTGCAAGACCCCAGAATTTCTACCCTGATGATTTATTAAATGACTCTTAGAGGTGTTATCAATCTCTTTTTAAAGCCAGGGACTTTGCCCAGGGGAAAAATACATACATACACACACACACACACACACACACACACACCCCTATGCATACAATTTCAGAGCAATTGTGCATTCATTCAGTGAATACCTATTTAATGCACACCAAGTATCTTTTCCGGGTGCTAATGACAGAGTGAGGAACAAGATAGCAAAGATCCCTGCCTTGTGGAGCTTTCATTATAGTGTTGGAAGACAAACCGCCACCAAGTAAATAAAGCAGGCATGTCAGCTATGATACGTGCCTTAGGACAGTGTACTGCAGCCACGCGATACAGGGATTGGGTGGAGGAAGGTTTGAAGTGGCTCTTTTAAACTGTTTTGTCTATGGAGGCATCTTGGCCAGGGACCTGAATGCTAGTGTCTGGGGAAAAGCATCCTAGGCAGTAAGTTCAGAGTGCCTGAAGCAGTAATGAGTTTAGTGTTTTCAAAAGACAGACAACTGGTATGGGAGGAACAGAGCGAGTAGAGGAGAGAGCAAGAGGTGAAATCCCAGAGGTAGAGGCGCCTGATCCTACAGGAACTTGTAGGCCATGACAAGGAGGTTGCCTGCACTTCACCGAGTCCATGCTTAGAGCCTAAAGGAACCATGGCCTCCATTTAAGAACTCCAGACAGAGAATCTAATTTAGGAACTGAAGGGGAAAAATGTCATTTAGGGATTAAATGTTTGGAGAATACATCTGAAAATCTAGAGGAACAAGTATGCAAACTGCAGCCAGAACCCTTACTGAACCCCCAGTGGCCCCAGTGTCTTCGGCACAACTGCCAGACACAGCTACTTGCTGAATTATTGCAAGTTCAAATTTCTATTTGCCTGCAATGTTACCAAGAAGCCTCTAACTTCTGTCCTGTCTCTGCCACTTTAGAATGCCAGAACATCACAAGCTTTCGCAGGCTGCACTCAGAAGCCTTGGTTAAATCGTTACTTTATTTCTTCACCTTCAAATGTCCAATAATGGCTTCACATTAGCATTAGCCTGATTTTCTAAGTCGTGATAGTTTGAATGTCACATTTTGCTTTTTGTTTTTAATCATTTTATTTTGCTTTGGAGGGTCTCTGTATGCTCCCCAATGGGGAGTTTTTGCAGTCCCCATTTCTTCAAGTGCCTCTTAAATGACAATTGTCTTTTAACTGTCCTATGCTGAGGGCTGGTTTGAGACTGGAACAGTCCATAAAACAGCTGCACAATCAGGATTAAGAAGATTTAATCAATGCTTTAGTTTTCCCAGAAATTTAGACCTTTAGCTTGACTATAGCGGAAAAATCGCAGAGGCATTCTGCTTTCAAAAATAATTTCGAATTCAATCTTTCCTTGATGTGAAACAGGAAATAAATGATTTATTCTAATTTGTCAATTCTAAGTTGACAGTGATGAACTGAAACAGCACCGAACCATGATCCCTCTGGTAACCTTTAGATAGGATGGTTCAAAAAGACCACTCCAGGACAGGCGTGGTGGCTCATGCCTATAATCCCAGCATTTTGGGAGGCTGAGGAGGGCGGATCACTTGAGGTCAGGAGTTTGAGACCAGGCTGACCAACATGGTGAAACCCTGCCTCTACTAAGAATACAAAAATTAGCTGGGCATGATGGTGCACACCTGCCATCCCAGCTATTCGGGAGGCTGAGACAGGAGAATTGCTTGAACCCTGGAGGCGGAGGGTGCAGTGAGCTGAGATCATACCAGTGCACTCCAGCCTGGGCAACAAGAGCGAACCTCCATCTCAAAAAAAAAAGCAACAAAAAACAAAAAGACCACTCTGGCATTTGCTGTGCCTGTTTCCTTGTCTATAATGAAGGTATTGAATAAAGCAAACTTTCCAATCAGGGCCAGCTATATAAAAGATCCTCCCTTGAAAGTCACACACAGACACACACAGAACCACACATACCCACACCCATACCCACACCAAAACTCTTCTACATACACACACACACTCAAACAAAGCAATAAAACTCTATCTCACACACACACATATACCCAAGACAAAAAGAAGTTTTTATTATATATTGCTTTACCAATTTATCCCTTGGAAAATTGTTTTGCACCAAGTTATTTAGTAAGTTAAGTTCTTGTCCCTCATTTTATGAGGTTACGAGTTTGGGGTTGGGGGAGAAGCCACTGCTCTGAAGTTATATCATCAACCAAGGTGGAGAGGGCATCCTGACAGGGATCTCTATTCTAGAAGCAATGGATAACAACAGGGGAAGGGCCACATGATGGGACAGATGCCAGCCTCAAACACCCTATAAAAAGCAGTAACTTACTGTCTCTCTCTTCTAATAGAAAGCAACCCTTGGGGCCAAAATCTTTTAAAAAATGTACTGCTATATCTTGAGTGCCCAGAGCAATACCTGGCACAGTAAGTGCTCAGTAAGTATTTGCTGAATAGATGGAGCTAGGTACTGGTCCACTTTGGTGCCTCTAGGAGTGCTCCTCTCGCCATAGGAAACATGCTCAGAAGTAGGAAGTTCGGGGTAACATAAACTTGTAACTTCACTCTCTTCTCTTTGACTTGTCACCCTTGAGCATTTGAGACTGAATTGCGAAAGTCTTAGACAGAACAGATAGGGGAAACATTGGCCCATTTCTCCCAACCCACCTGTCTCTTTCCCCACTGGTAGGGTCTGAATGTGGCATCAACTAGTATGTTAGAATTCATCTTTGGCCTGGGACAGGCATGCCTTCTAAGAATCCTACCATGAAAGATTTATAAACATGAGAATCCTTAATTTATCTGTTATGTAAGTCCAGATTTATTAACTGAATTTGTTTAAATCAAAATTATTTGTGCTATAGATCTCACATTGTCAACAGATCCTACAGCTGGTCTGTTTTTGCTCATAAGCTGAAAGAGAATTAGAAGTGAGTTAAAACGAAAAATGGTTTGAAATTCTCATAGTCCTCTCAGCAAAGCCCTGCTGATTGATACAATAAACCACTGCTAAAGCAGCATTAACAATAGTGGACCATTTTGGATATTATCTGTGTGTAGAAAGACACAGAGTTTGACTCTGTTTAGAAAATCAGATGCTAAATAGCTCCTGAAACCGGGGAGCTTGTTATGAAAACAGAGGGGTGGTAGGCCCTTCTAATTGGCCAGAGTATTTACCCAGAGGTCTGGCTTTCACATAAAAGGCAGGAGGAACCACTGGAGTCAGTCCCCGCTTCCAGTAAGAGGTCAAGGTAAAACAGAAAAAAGGAAGATGGCAAGAATATTGTTACTTTTCCTCCCGGGTCTTGTGGCTGTGTGTGCTGTGCATGGAATATTTATGGACCGTCTAGCTTCCAAGAAGCTCTGTGCAGATGATGAGTGTGTCTGTAAGGATTTTTTTATGCTTTTCATTATCTTTCTATTACATAATGGAAAATATATCCACTAATAGCATAAAATTGAATTGTACTTTGAAGTGAGTCTTCTCCGATGTGTATATTATCAACTTTGTTTCTTCTGGTCTGCATTTTGGTGTCTTACTATGGAGAATTCACTTGGCTGAGTTTTGTTGCAGCTTTAATATCTTGGCTGTCTTCTTTCTCTTGTATAGACACCAGCTGTAAACTGGAAATTATCAGTCACTCTGATTTCCTAGTTTTTCTAATACACACTGCCTTTTACTGTTATAAAATTCAGGAGCCTAAAATGTAATCATTTATTTATTTTTTCTTCCAGATACTATTTCTCTGGCTAGAGCTCAAGAAGATTATAATGCCCCGGACTGTAGATTCATTAATGTTAAAAAAGGGCAGCAGATCTATGTGTACTCAAAGCTGGTAAAAGAAAACGAAGCTGGAGAATTTTGGGCTGGCAGTGTAAGATGAGATAATTTAAAATGAACACCTTCAACCTATTTTAATGCTTAATACTAGTTGTTAAGAACCATGTAGCGATTATAGATGGAAATGCAAAAATTCAGGTATAGTTGCTATTATTGCACTTTAAAGAAAGAAAGATCAATTTCATAACAAAACCAAATGTAGGTTAATGTGATATTTTGGCAAAAAAAAGAGTCAAATTCATGGGGGCTTGAACATCCCAAAGAATTTGAATCTTATCCGAAAACGTCTGAGATTTGCCAAGTAGAAGGCATGTGTGTTGGCAGTGAGTCTAAGTATCAATATTCTTTCAGGAAACGTTGCATCCTCATTAATTCCAAAGAATCAGCGTTTTTCAGTTAAAATATACAGGGGTGGTCCCTGGGGAGGGATGAAGCAGGGTTGATTTTCTGTCCTCATCTGCAACCCTAAAGGTGAGTTCTAAATTAATGAAGGATTACATTTAAATCCTTTTAAGTCTGTTCATTTGAATTGTTGAAAACTGAGAAATTTGCATCATTTAAAATAAGTGTCTACAGTACTTTAGAACATGTACTGTCTTCATATATTTATGGGTTCAAAAAAGATTTCAGGCACCTCACAAGACTGCATAAAATAAAGTCATGCTAAAGTAGTGAAATAAGGCTGGGCCACTAAAGAGTAGATGCACAACTCCTGCGGGTTAACTTAGTGCTCCAAGTAAAATTCGGATTTTCCGCAGAGCCCCCTGGACCCCAGGGTGAAAGGGAGGTATTGGCAGCTATGATTTTCACCATCAGCAAAGAGGATGCCTGCGGGTTTCTCAGAAGACACTCAGCATCAGCTTTTTCCTGACTGCTATTCTTCTGGGCACTTAGGTTTATGGCGATGGCCAGGATGAGATGGGAGTCGTGGGTTATTTCCCCAGCAACTTGGTCAAGGAGCAGCGTGTGTACCAGGAAGCTACCAAGGAAGTTCCCACCACGGTAAGCATCTCAAAAGTGACTAGACAAGGACTCAGATCTTGGGGCAACATAGACTGGTGTCAAAAATGAATCATGCAACCTACAAGATGTATAGAACAAAGCCCCCAACTTTCAATGACGACTTATCTGAGAGAGTGAGGTTTGGGGGACTATGTATAACTATTGTCAACGTTGAAAGATGAGTAAACTTTCCGTATACCACCCCCTTTTGTCTTATTTCAGTTTACTATTTTTTTGTCTCATCTTTTTTCTTTATTTTTTCAGCTTCATTGGGTTATAACTGACAGATAAAAATTGCATACATTTAATGCATACATTATGTTTTGATATACCTTGTGAAATGATCATCACAATCAAGCTAGTTAACAGATACATCACCTCACATAGTTACGTGTGTGTGTGTGTGTGTGTGTGTGTGTGTGTGTGAAAACATTAAGATCTACCCTTTTAGCAAATTTCAAGTATACAATACAGTACCTCTTTTTTTTTAGATGCACGTTATCTTGCAAAGCAGTCTATGTAACAAAGAAACAAACCAAAGTCAGTACTAACTGACTCTTACTGACGGTTTTCACTAAAGATAGGCTGAGAAAAAAATTATCACATGTTTTTGATCAAATCAAAATATTCTAAAACAATCTTTGAATGTCTTATTTTTGTGGTAAATAGATTCTATTTATGTATGAAATAAAATTATACTCTTCTTAATGCCCTGGGGTCCTCTAAACTCAGGACAGAAATAAAAGATGCTTTCTGAGCTGCTTTGCAAGATGCTTGTTTTGAAGTGATTCTCCTGGAGCTAATTGCTGTGCTTTAAACACTGCCCATCCTACACAAATGGGACTCAGTTGTCATCACTTCTTAGCATTAAGCTGAAATCTGTCAGATAACCGTAAATTAAAGGTTCGTTTGAGGACCTTCATTGTAAGTAGTTTTTGACTTAAAGTGGTAATTGTTTCATATTTTTTGGGGGTCAACCTTTACTTACTTGAAATTCAAATTTCTCTGATTAGATATGATTTTAAATACAGAATCTATATCTGTTTTTTAGCCTAGCCTATTCAGTTCAATCTTTTTTGTTTTTGTTTTTTTCCAGGATATTGACTTCTTCTGCGAGTAATACATTGGTTAAAACTGCAAATAGAAAGAAAACACCAAAAATAAAGAAAAGAGCAAAAGTGACCAAAAAATGCATGTCTGTAATTTCTGACTGACATTTTAAGGATCTGTTACCTTATAGAAGAGCGAGGGCTTAGGGGTTGGAGGTGGCAGATAAAAGAGGATTTTCAACTCAAAACTTGTTTCCTGCTGGCCTGGTCTTCCCACGAGCTAGAGCGGGGAAATGTTGAGCTCAAATGAGTAAATTGAGACCAGAAAATTATTTTTTCAACCTAGAGAATCTCCTCTTACAGGGGGATGCATATAAAAGATCATGTATGTGTAGTTATTTCTAAGTAGTGATTCTTCCCAGCTCTTTGATTTCCCGTATATAAAATAGGTGGGTCATAGGTGGGTCATGTTCCCTTTAGACATGACATTTTCTACTCATTTGTCTTTCTGGCCAATTGGATTATTAATAAAGGGGCTGTTTTTCCAAGGAGTATTCTAGTATTTTTGTTACCTTTAATATTTGATGCCTTTTGGAGGTAAAGCTGTTTGGGGGGAAGAAGAGTTTTTGGACCCATAGATGTTTGGATGATGTCTCTAATTTGTCATTTAGAAAAATCTCAAAAGTCATTTCAGTTTAATAACTTGCCTTCTAAATGATCAAGTTACTTCTCCCCCAATTTTAAAGAAGTATGTGTATATTTAACAGGGGAAGGTAGTTTATCGAAATATTTTTAATGGAATAGTTTTCCCTTAATATGTATCCTTGCTGGATATTATTCAGGCTTCAAGTCATCAAAAGACCCAACAAAACAAACAAACAAAAAAGGTCTGTAGGTTATTTTCTCTACTTCTATTCCAACTTTGAATTTCCTCTTCCTGTGCAAATTCCTCTAGTCAAGTGTGATATATCAAGAAATCTGAGGAGGATGCAGGTTTTGTGGTCCTGATGGGCCCACAAGTTTTTCTATATTTAACTGGAAATATGCTTTGATTTTGTGTTATTAATATAATTCTTTTGATGTAGTCATGATTTTTTTCTTTGTTTGCATATAATTAAAATGCCTGTACTCTACTTAATGTCAAAATTTCTGAGTTTTTTCTTAAACATTTTTCACCTTAGAGAATAAAAGTGTGGGGGACTTGGGAATGAAGCTTGTTTTTCAGTTCTCTGTGATCTGGACATCTCCTAAGCATGAAGAAGAGAGCAGAAGAGGGCGTTTAGGGTTAGCCACAGACTTGGCCCAGGGTCATCTTTTAGCTCTGTCAACTGTGATTTTGGGTGAATATCTTTTTACCAAATTCTTATGTAGGTCAGTCAAATAAAGTGGTACCAAAATGCAAAACACAATCAAACAGAATACCAATGTTTATTTGTTTCTATTTTACTTTATTACAAAGAGGTTTCAAGTAGCATCTAGGGCTCTCGATACAACTTTAGAGTAAGAGGTATTTATCCTATTTCTGTTTCTATCTGCCTCTCGCTTCCTGGCCTTTCCATTCCGGAAACACCAAGAACCCCTGAGATGCCCAGCACCCCCATTGCTCCCACCGGGCCTTAGCTACGCAGCTTCACTCCCCATGCATGGGGCTTCCAGGGCAGAACTCCCTGCTTAACTCAGTCAGCTCCAACCCATGAAAACTGAGCTCTTCCAGGAGTTGGAAGGCCATTGACTGATTTATATCTCCTGGGGCCTATCTGCATTAAATGAAAGCAAGCACTTGCAGGACTTTAAACACACATCTGTCCTCTAAAAATGCAAATGGCCAACCGTGGACCAGCAGCAGCAGCAGCAGCAGCAGCTGGGCCTCACCTGGGAGCTGGTTAGGAGGCAGAATCTCTGCCCACTGCATGCCTTCTGTGTCAAAACATGCATTTTTAACAATAACTCAGGGGTTTCCTGTGCACATTAAAGATTGAGAAACACTGATTTTAGTTCCCTCTACTCATCTTACAGAAAAAGAAATAAACAAAAGGCTAAAGTACATAGGAGATAGAGCAACTCTCTCCAAGTTAAACAACAGGATTGAACATTCTTATCAGTACTTTCCCAACCCTACCACAGCACTGTCTTGATTCTCCACTGATGTCTACCCAGAGAAAAGGAGGCAGAATGGTACCAGGGTGAGAGTTTGTGGGCAATGAGGCCTTTTGGGACCCCTTTCCAGTTGACGAATTGTTTCTCTCCCCTTCCCACTAAGAGAAAGGGCATCTTAGCACCTCTAAAAGGTTATCAACTGTTAACATAAGAATTTTAGTCTAACGATCCTTGAGGGAACCCTAACTTGTAGGCTTTCTTGATACCCAAGCTAAACGATGTATATCTATATATCTCTCTACGTATCTCTATTAAATACATATATATTTTAGGCAGCCCAAGTCTTTGCTCTAGTTTATTAATCATGTACCAGGTAGTTAGGCCTGGCAGCTTGAGTACCTGTGACCCAGCTCCATTCTAGAGAGTCCCCGGCTACCCAGACGCATTCTGTTTTAGCCAAGATTAAACAGAACAAGGGCGCTGCTACCGTTTGTCTTTTAGTCTGAAGATAGTTAATTTCATTTAGGAAGGGCTTTAAGTTTTACTATGCAGCTTGTACTGCCTCCTTGTGAGAGAAAAAGAAGATGTTTAATCCTCCATCTCTGACCTCACAGAGTACGGGAAGTAAGACTCCTACCTACAGAAGAATAAAGAACCAATGCAGGGCAGTGGATGTGGGGAGGGAAGGCAGGTAGGTTTCATGAGTCAGCTTAGGGCAAGTGGTAGACTTTGCCTAGAGTAGAGCCCTTGCAAGGTATTACCAGGGCAGGATGAGGCAAGTAAAGAAACTGATCAGAGGTGAGAGGAGTCAGGGCATGGCACATGATAGTTGGCAACAAAATGAAATCATGTTGAAAGGAAGTGCGTTGGGTGGCACTCGTTGCTCCGAAAAGTTAGGTGATGATAAAAGATCCCAGGGCACCTTGGAGCTTTGAAATAACTGGGCTGCCATTTTCTAGCTGTGCATGCTTAGATAAGATTCTGACTGTAACTGCAGGACCAGCCCAAACCAGACCTACTCTGTCGATAACAAAATGTTGAGTTGCCTTTTAAGTATAACAGAGCCCAAACCTGCAAGTCCTATTGCCCAGGCATGCACAATACAAAAAGCTTTGACCCCTAATGATACCCAAAACCAACAAATCCTCCCTTTGGAACCGAGAAGACCAGGACAGGACTGGAACCTGAATGCGAGAACACTTTCAGAAGTGAGGGGTCTGTTGGCCCTAAAGATCTGGGGCTAAAATCCTCCTTAACATACCTTTCTGTAAATGGTCAAATTTAAAGCCCTCCAATCAGACCCTGCCAAGCCAACATTCCCAAATCCTTTCTCTTGCCCACGGTGATGGTTAATATTGAATGTCAGCTCGATCGTATTGAAGAGTGCAAAGTATTGCTCCTGGGTGTGTCTGTGAGGGTGTTGCCAAAGGAGATTAACACTTGAGTCAGTGGACTGGGAGCGGCAGACTCACCTTCAATAGGGGTAGGCACCATCTAATCAGCTGCCAGTGTGGCTAGGATAAAAACAGGCAGAGGAACATGGAAGGACTAGACTGGCTGAATCTTCCGGCTTTCATCTTTCTCCTGTGCCGGATGCTTCCTGCCCTCGAATGTTGGGCTCCAAGATTTTCAGCTTTTGAACTCTTGGACTTACACCAATGGTTTGCCAGAGGCTCTTGGGCCTTTGGCCACAGACTGAAGACTGCACTGTTGGCTTCTCTACTTTTGAGGTTTTGGGACTCAAACTGGCTTTCTTGCTTCTCAGCTTGTAGATGGCCTATTGTGGGACTTTGCTTTGTGATCACGTGTGCCAATTCTCCTAGTAAACTTCCCTTCATATACACATATACCCTATTAGTTCTGTCGTTTTAGAGAACCCTGATTAATATACCCACTGTCCCCTACAATCTCATGTTCTTCTCACATTGCAAAATACGATAATCCCTTCTCAATAGTCTCCCCAAATTTTAACTCATCCCAATATTAACTCAAAGTCCAAAGCCTAAACTCTCGTCTGAGACTCAGATCCCAATATTAACTCAAAGTCCAAAGCCTAAACTCTCGTCTGAGACTCAGGCCACATACCTCCCATCTATGAGCCTGTAACATAAAAAAAATTATTTACTCCCAAGATACAATGGTGGTACAGCCATTTGGTAAAAATTTCCATTCTAAGAGGGAGAAATAGGCCAAAAGAAGAGGGCAGCAGACCTTACATGACTTTAAAACTCAGTAGGGCAGACATTAAACCTTAAAGCTCCAAAATAATCCTTGACTCCACATCCTGTATCCAAGGCACACTGGTGCAAGGGGTGGGCTCTCAGGGCCTTGGCAGCTCCACCCCTGTGGTTTTGCAGGTGAGCCCCCATGGATGCTTTCATGGATGAAGTTGAGTGCCTGTGGTTTTTCAGGCTCAGGGTGCAAGCTGCTGTTGGCTGTATCACTCTGGGGTCTGGAGGGTGGTGGCTCTATTCCCACAGCTCCACTAGGCAGTGCTCCAGTGAGGACTCTGTGTGGGAGCTCCAACCCCATATTTCCCGTCAGCACTGCCCTAGTAGAGTTTCTCTGTGGGGCTTTGGTACTCCTGCAGCAGGCTTCTACCTGACCACCCAGGCTTTCTAGTAAATCCTTTAAAATCCAGGTAGAAGCTGCCAAGCTTCCTTCACTCTTTTGCTCTGTGAACCTGTAAGCTTAACACCACATAGAAGCCACTATGGCTTACAGCTTTTGCCTTCTGGAGCAACAGCCCAAGCTGTGTCTGGAGCCTTCTGAGCTGCAGCTGGAACTGGAGTTGCCAAGGTGCAGGCAGTAGCATCCTGAGGTGGCACAAGGCAGCAGTGCCCTGGGCCTGGCCTCTGAAACCATTCTTTTTTCCTCCTAGGCCTCTGGGCCTGTGATGGGAAGGGCTACCTCAAAGGTTCCTGAAATGCCTTCAAGTCTTTTTGCCCATTGTCTTGACTATTAGCATTTGACTCCGTTTTAGTCATGCAATTCACTCTAGCAGGTGTTGCTTCCCAGCCTGCTTGGATTCCTTTCCTGAAAATGCTTGTTCCTTCTTTAAGACATGGCCAGGCTGCAAATTTTTCCAAATTTCTATGTTCTAATTTCCTTTTAATTATAAGTTCCAATTTTAAGTAATTATTTTGCTTCCATCCCTGATTGTAGGTTGGTAGTTATGGCAGCCATACCATATTTTGAATGCTTTGCTGCTTAGAAATGTCTTCTGCCAGGTATACCCTAGGTCATCATTTTTAAGTTTAGTCTTCCACAAATCCCTAGGACATGGAGACAATGCAGCCAACCTCTTTGCTGGGATGTAACAGAGATGACCTTTGCTCCAGTTCCCACTAAGTTCCTAATTTCCATCTAAGACCTTGTCAGTTTGGCCTTCTCCGTCCATATTTCTATCTGCATTTTGGTCACAACTATTTAAACAGTAGCTAAGAAGTTCTAAA